TAGATAAAATAAACCTCTCAACCTTCATATCTCTATCAAAAACTTACTTCCTCAGAAATGTCTTCCCCAACCAACCTTTTCAAAATAGTTTCTTCCACTCCAAGTCATTCTTGAACCCTTTAACCCACTGCTGTACACTAAATGTTTATGTCCCCCCCCCAAATTCATATGTTGAAATCCTAATCCCCAATGTCATGGTATTAGGGGGTGGGGCCTATGAGAGATAATTAGGTCATGAAGGCAAATCTGAAGCTCTTGATAAACTACAGATCCCGTGCAAGGAGTAAGTAGAGGACAGAGAGGATCAGCCCAGGATCGGGTGAGAGAGGCCTGACCACACCACATACAAAACAGACACACATGTGCGCACACACAGACATGCTGTGTTAGCCTTATGTGAAAGGAAAAGTTGGATTTAGAGCAAGGACTGAAGGCTTAAATGTCTAAACATTCTTTTGGATAGCAAGCCAAAATCTCATGAGAATAAATGTACAAATAGAATGCTGAAGAGTGAATGCTAAAATAATATACATCACATTATTCTGTTATATACATTACAGGTCACATGAGGAAACTGAAACTCTCTTCAGCCCTGCCCAAATATAGGGAGCCATTTAGGGCTGTTCAAAACAATTAGGATTGGTGGCTCTGACATCAGAATGAACAACTGCCTTGGTTCAGCTGTTCTTTTTGGCCATTCTTAACAAGTACATTTTAAGGGCCATTATTGTTTTATTCATGTTAGGTTTATCATTATTGCAGTTAACCTCACATTTACTTTGGCTAGTATCCTTCTTTGAGAGTCTTTGACACTTCAGTTTGTTTTGTCTTTTTGGTTACACTTCTTTAATAACTTAAATTTGAAAAGTTTTTCAGCTTACAAAGAATTCATATTATCATTTGTAACTTTGACCAACTCTGAGGTATAGGCACAGATTATAATTCCTATTTTATAGGTGAGGAAACTGAGGCTTAGTGAAGATAAGGAACTTTCCCAAGGTCATGGGCATACAGAATGGCAGAGCTAAAATTCAAAGTCTTTTGACTTCTATGATGCTTTTCCATATGACATGACACCCATCACAAAGCAGGCTTGCCTGGCAAAGATCCAGTGACTACACACATTAAATATGCTTATGTTCATGTACACACATACACATCAGCTGTCAAACAAGTAGAAATCAAAGAAAACATCAAGTAGAACTCACAATATTATTGTGTTCTGCATCTTCAGAAAGAGAGTCAAGAAACCCTACCATCACCATTTCTTCCCAGCAGGAATTCCAGGGCTCCCTCTTCCCCGCCAGGTGTTTGTATGTTACACAAATTTGATGTTCTTTATAGTGATTTGGGAGAACCACCACATCACTTTGACCACCAAAAATATCCTCAGGGACAGGAGGGAAATTAGTAGGGATAAGTCAAGCGGTAAATTCTAACCAGGATCTCTACATAAATATTCAAAGTTAAGACTGAACAAAGTTTGTTTAAATAAAGAGCCAGAGAAATGGCAGATGGCAGACCTAAGGAGGTGGTTTTGGGGAGAGAAAGGCCAAGCCTAAGAGAGGAAATAATTGTAGTAAAGCAGAATCCCACTGGGTCTTTGGTATTCAACTGGTCTTCTTCCAGGCATTTCATCTCCTTCCAGTTTTCCAGTATTTCATTAGATTGTCCTGGTTTAAAAATTATTAAATATAATCCAACACATCCACTGAAATGATGGAAGGGTGAAGGGCCAAGCATGCTAGCTTATTATTAAAGACATCACCACCAGTCTAAGATTCAATAATTAAATTCATTCCCCAAAGGTGGAATTAAGTCCCAGTTTATACATTACCAGGTATTATGACATGCTTCTGGTATGGATTAACACTTTCAGCTCTCTAGTGACTACCTTAGAGACATTAAATGTTAGAACTACACAGGGCTCTTTAAGAGAACAACAAAGTCTTTTTTTTTTTTTTTTTTTTTTTTTTTTTTGCAGCTGGCCAGTATAGGGATCAAACTCTGGACCAGCCAGACCTTCCAAGTCTTATTTTCTTTTTTTCCTTTTTTTGTCTTTTTTCGTGACCGGCAACGGACCGCAACCCTCAGCGTCGCACCCGCACCAGACCGGGACCGACCATGGGATCGCAACCCTCGGCGTTGCCCCCGCCCCTCGCTCAGCCAGTGAGCGGCCGGTCCGTATGTGGGATCCGAACCCTCAGCGGGAGCGCCACTGCACTTCCCAAGCGGCGCACTATAGCAGTGCGCCACCGGGCCGGCCCCCAAGTCTTATTTTTAATAAATGAAGAACTTGAAGGATTTGTTCAGGAACGTATAACTAGGCAAGAAATAAGGTCTGAAGTACTGATCTTTGAGTGGGGGGGGAAGAAAAACAAGAAACAGAAGTGTGTATAGTATGCTGTGATTTATGTTTTAAGGCATTGTATATTATATGAGCATATACAGAGAATATCTCTGGAAAAATATGGGGGAAAATGAGAAAAGTTCTTGCTTCAAACAGGATATTTTAGATACTGGCAAACAAAAGTAGGAGAGAAATTTACTTTTTTTCTGGATATCTTTTGCTACTCATTAATAGTCTATCACCCCTGCTAAAAGAGTATAAGCTCCTTGAAGGCAGGGCTCATTGACCATTATATTCGTCTTTGTAATCCTTGGGTTGGCCTGGCATTATAAGAATTCAATAAATTATTGTTAAGAACTTACAGCACATGTTCTTTTTCCACCTAAAATAAATTTAAGTATTAATGAATATAAATCAATATTAATTTTGTGATTCTCTCCAAATCGTTTATAACAATCATTCTTAGAAGAACAGAAAATAACACCTTTCTATCTTCTCCTGTTTTACTAATACGTATATTATTAAGAGTACACTTGAAATAAACAGTTCTCGAGATATTCTAATTCATGAAATGAAAAAAAGCATTATAAATCATTTTTCTGACAAACATTTCTTCATTTATTTCCCTGAAAGGGGAAAAAAAATGATTAGTTAGTATATTTAAAAGACTGTAAAGCAGTGAGTTTTGTGGTAGGGATTCATGTTAAATATTTTCTTAGGTGCTGTTTATTAACCAGTCCTTCTGTTGCCTGTTCACACTCTTGGCATTACCCTTGACCAGGATGTTGCAAAGTCTATGCACATTTTTTTCTCTTTTTTTTTTTTAAAGATGACCAGTAAGGGGATCTTAACCTTTGACTTGGTGTTGTCAGCACCACACTCAGCCAGTGAGTGCACCGGCCATCCCTATATGGGATCCGAACCAGTGGCCTTCGTGTTATCAACACCACACTCTCCCAAGTGAGCCACGGGCTGGCCCTCTATGCACATTTTCTAAGTGAAAAACTATGACCCAGAATTAAGTAAAGCAGAAGCAAAGAAAACAAACTCCCATGAGAATGGAAATTAAATTAATTATAGACAGTTTTTTCAAAGTTTTCCAGAAAATAGTTGCATTGAAACTTTTGAGAAACTTGCCACTTCTTTCTCTCTCTCTTGCCAGCATTATGATGGCACTCCACTTAGAACTCGGATTTTCAGTAAGTCCCATTATAAGGTGTGAGAGTATAGCGGTGTATGCCCAGTGCTGGTACCACAGGGGTTGGGGGGACTGAACAGACTTAAGTGTGTACCACACTTGCCCTCTAGTGTGCATTTGCTAACACTGCATTTCCCTGGGCTGTTCGGTCTTCAGCCTAGGAAGTTTCCAAACTGATGTTTTTTCAAGCTGGTTTTTATAAACAGATAAACCCAATTTATATTTATTCAGTTAAATGCTAATTTGCAAAGAATGCTATTAAAAGTCTTAGAAACAGTTTATTCTTGTGAATAGTTAAACATCTCCCCCTATCTTGCTTATACAACTAATTTGCTTTGTAAACTCCTTTCTTTCATAAAAGTACAAAGATAAACTTTAATGGACTCCAGATCCAATTACCCAAGTTCTAAACTAATGACTTCATTGTATTGAAGTAGAAGAAAGAAATGTGCATAATTATTATGATAGCGATTTTGTAAAATGATATTTTGGTAGTTACATGAAGCACTTTCTAGAAGACTTCTGTAGTTTTTGTTGTTTGCTTTTTACATTTATTTTACATTTACATTTACCTTTACATTTATTTGTGACTACACCAAAGCAGCCAAAAGGCATCTGGCAGATAAAAAATCTCTGCCCCTGGCATGGAGCCTATAAATTATTAACCATTTCCATTTAGGAGATAATTTTTGGTACTTATTAACAAAGTCTAACTTGCCACCAGGTTTGCCTCTTAGCAGAATCTATTCTATCTGTTAGGATTAGATTTCATGGAAATGTGGAAGAGCCAAAATAACAGTGGCCTAAAGAAGACAGAACTTCATTTCTCTCTTGGGTAAACAAATTACAAATTTAAGGATTGGTATGACACCTCCACGTTCAACCAGGGCTGAGGTTTCTTCTAGCTTGTTTCTCTACTACCCTCAGTGCAGCTTTCATCTCATGGTCCAAGGTGTCTGGTCCGTTTGTAGGCAGCATATCAGCATTCTAGCCAGTAGGAGGAAGGAGGCGGAAGGACATGCCCACTTGCTTTTAGGATCCTTCCTGGAAGTTGCACCCATTAGCACTACATACAATTGGCCAGATCTTTGTCACACGGCCCTGCCTTGCTGAAATGTCTTTACTCTGGGTTGCTCTGTTCCCAGCTGAAGATCAGTGGTTCCAATATTATGGAATGAGGGCAGAATTGTTATTCAAGGACAACTAGTCTCTCCTATAGTCTATATTCCCACCCATTGCCTTCATTTGACAGATTCTACTCTTTTCTATTTTTTGTTTGATCTTTGTTTTCTATTGAAAGGTATCACCTTCCTTTTCATTTGCCTTTCACCATGAAGTTCTGATGATAAAGACCATGTCTCCCTACCCCTCTTCTTCCCTTCTGTCTTTACCTAAGCTCCAGTCCTTGGCCTGCAGATTCTCACCATGCTGGTGCATTCCTTCCTTCTGCAGGTGATGGCTGTGCCGCCTGGCCCTCTACAGCTGCTGGGAGCGCTGCTCATCATTTCTCTAAGCTCCACCGGGCTTATTCAGGCTGGTGCCTACTATGGGATCAAGCCACTGCCACCTCAAATTCCTCCTCAGATGCCACCACAAATTCCACAATACCAGCCCCTGGGCCAGCAAGTACCTCACATGCCTTTGGCCAAAGATGGCCTTGCCATGGGCAAGGAGATGCCCCACTTACAGTATGGCAAGGAATATCCACAACTACCCCAATATATGAAGGAAATTCAACCGGCACCAAGAATGGGCAAGGAAGCAGCACCCAAGAAAGGCAAAGGTAACATCAGACTCTCATGCCATTTATAATACTGCAGCTTTCCAAACTCCTGAATTTTGGGATCAGGGGAGAAGCTAAATTTTAGAAACTTTTCCTTTAAAATTTGTATTGACATTTAATACATGCCTACTGAGTTCTCAACCCTACTCATGGAAAGTTCAAGACTTTAAAGAAAGATATAGGGGCTGTCCGGTTAGCTCAGTTGGTTAGAGCATGGTGTTATAACACCATGGTCAAAGGTTCAGATCCCTGAACCAACCGGCATGCCCCAAAGAAAAGCCCAATGATAAATAAATACACAGACAAAATTACCATTTTATGATTTGCTTTATTACTTTAACTAGCATCAGATAAAACAAAACATATTTAATCACAAATAGTGTATCCTCTCATTTATTATTTAGTTAGTCAAACATTCAGCGACTATCTAATGAGCTCTTATTTGTGAGTCTCTGGGCCAGTTGCTGGAGTGATAAAGCAGTGAGAAAAAAAATCACCTAAGGTGACAAGTCAGTCTTCTGAGCTAGGAGAGCAATGTCGTAAAGACCTGCTGTGTTTAAAAAAAAAAAAAATCACACGAACGCATTTTGCAAACTTGGTATTAGATAAATGCAAATGATTTTACTACTGCTCTACTTAAGCTACAAATGTCAATCAGTAGATCAATAGAAGGAGACCAAGAGTACAGATCACATCTAGAGATGATATCTGAAAGTCTCTCCCATTACTTTCTAGGCATATTTATTAGTTATTCGACACCTACCAAATGCCCCTCACTGTGATAGACACTTTATTATAAATTCACTTGGTTTATCTGGAGTTCTCAGAAACCTAACATCTGTAGGAAATACAGCTGCATCAGAGTAGCGATTACCTTTGAGAAGTGGAGGCCATTCCCACTAGTCCCTACAATGGCAGGAACCTCTGGAGAACCACTAAATTTGGCACTAAGAGGCTTCGATGTCATAAATGAGAGAGACCTAATAATTTGACCTGTCTGAGCCTATTTTTCTTCATCTGTAAAATAAGATTGTTGAGAGAATCAATGGCATAAGGTAAGTAAAGTGCTGAGTAAACACTGAAGCGCCACAAGAACTCTGAGTTGCTACAACTGGTCATTCAATAAATCCTCAGTAAGAACAGAGTATGTTCCAGGCACTGTGCTAGACAAGGGATTCCTGCCAAATAAGATGTGGCCCTGCCCCAGACAATTCCTTGATACAGTAACTACACAACTCATTTTCTTAGAAATAACATGCCTTAATGGTACTATAATAATATCTATTAGCATAGGAAAAGTATTCCCCATTTTCTTCTCTTTAGGAGCCAGAATTCCACTTTGAAGATTATCTTGGCCATTTGTTTTCCTTCCTTTCTTGAGTGGCCTATCTGGCCTTTGGTAATTCTTGTACTTATTCAGATAGGTACTCATATTTTAAAAGAATATGAGTCATTGGGTTCTATTTTGTTCCCTGACAGTAGCTCATTGAAAAGTACAATGGTCAGGATTAAGATGCTACTACAGGTTAAAATAAGACATTGGGACCATACATTTCATTTCTCCCTGTTATCCATTAGTCCTTGTAACATGGGAGATCCAGAAGTGTGTTGTTCTGCAAGGCATAGCATAATCATTATAACAACATGTGCTTTGTATTTTGATAACAATTCGAGAAAGTGTGACACCTTTCACATCTATTCTCTAATCTTGCAGAATGGCTGTATTATTCTTGCTGTACAGATAGGCAAGCAGAGATGTTGATGCCTTAAGTTACCTGTCAAGATCTCACCAGAAAGATAAGCAGAGCTTCCTGCTCCTAATCCAAGCTCTCATCCTCATCCATACTGCTTGTCATTCTAAAATACTTTATTCTCCTCTCCTATTTAAAGGCAAAATTTACATATGAGAAATAATTTATTAAGTTAAAGAATGAATAATCGAAGCTTAGAGAATTCTACAGCACTCTGAAGAAATTAAGCAAATCTACTGACTCTAGAGGACAGATGTGGAAAAATATTATTGAACCACATACAAAATATAGTACTTCTGTTCTTTCCTGAGTCCACATGATAATGACTTTCATAATCCACATCATACTGTATTTCAGCATATGAGGGAATATTATTTAGCTGGAAAGTATTATATTAAAAAAACAAGCCAGGCTTAGAAAGACAAATACTGCATGTTCTCACTTGTATATGGAATCTAAGACAATTGAACTCATAGGAATAGAGAGTAGAATGTTGGTTATTAGGGACTGAGGGGTGGGAGGAATGAGGAGATGGTGGTTAAAGGGTACAAAACCTCACTTAGGAGAAATAAGGGGGTTGTTTGAGACCTATTGCACAGCATGGTAAATATAGTTAAAATAATGTACTCTATATTTCAATATCACTAAGAGGGTAAATTTCAAATGTTCTTGCCACAAAAAATAAGTATTTGAGGTGATGAATATTAGTTAGCCTGATTTAATTGTGCTACATTTTATTCATAAATTGTAACATCACTTTGTACCCCATAAGTATATACAACTATAATTTGTCAGTTTACAATAAAATTGTTTAAAATACACACACACACACACACACACATACACACACACACCCTAGAACAAACAAGGTGAAAATACATATAAATGTCAAGTGGTTATCTCTGAATAGTGGGCTTATAGGCAATTTTGATATTTTATACATCTTTGAATTTTCCACATTTTCTATAGTGAGCACACCATAGTATCTCCAAGCTTTGTACTTGGCAAATTATTTCTTCATTATTTTTTAACATTTTTACTTAACCAATGCTGATACAAACAGCTGCACATATCAGTTCTCAAAACAATACCTCAAATACATAAAAGAAATGATCAGCTTGATTTTCCTTTAAGTATTGATATCATATAGTCCTGGAAGATGAGCATATTATTCCTAGTCCTCTTGATAATAGGCAAATGTGTCAGGACTAAATAATGATTGTCATTATTTAATTGAAAGGAGGAATAATCAGTCTCTCTGTCTCTCTGTCTGTCCGTCTCTCTCTCTCTCTCTCCACTCCCCACCCCCCCTTTCCCAGTAGAAATACCATTAGCCAGTTTACGAGGGGAACAAGGTCCCCGTGGAGAGCCTGGCCCAAGAGGACCACCTGGGCCCCCTGGTTTGCCAGGTCATGGGATACCTGGATCCAAAGGCAAACCAGGGCCACAGGGATATCCAGGAATTGGAAAGCCAGGTATGCCTGGAATGCCAGGGAAGCCAGGAGCCATGGGAATGCCTGGAGCAAAAGGCGAAATTGGACCCAAAGGGGAAATCGGGCCTATGGGGATCCCAGGACCACAAGGACCTCCAGGGCCTCATGGACTTCCAGGCATTGGGAAGCCAGGTGGGCCAGGGTTACCAGGGCAACCCGGAGCAAAGGGTGATCGAGGACCCAAAGGACCACCGGGACCTCCAGGCCTTCAGGGTCCTAAAGGAGAGAAGGGCTTTGGGATGCCTGGTCTGCCAGGCCTGAAGGGTCCTCCAGGGATGCATGGCCCTCCTGGCCCTGTGGGACTGCCAGGAGTGGGCAAACCAGGAGTGACAGGCTTCCCTGGGCCCCAGGGCCCCCTGGGCAAGCCAGGGCCTCCAGGAGAGCCAGGCCCACAAGGCCCTATTGGGGTCCCAGGGGTTCAAGGACCTCCTGGGATTCCTGGAGTTGGAAAACCAGGCCAGGACGGGATCCCAGGCCAGCCAGGCTTTCCAGGTGGGAAAGGGGAGCAAGGACTGCCAGGGCTTCCAGGACCCCCAGGCCTTCCAGGTGTTGGGAAACCAGGCTTCCCAGGACCCAAAGGTGACCGGGGCATGGGGGGTATTCCTGGGGCTCTTGGACCAAGGGGAGAGAAAGGACCAGTAGGTGCCCCTGGAATAGGTGGTCCCCCAGGAGAGCCAGGCCTGCCTGGAATCCCAGGCCCAATGGGCCCTCCAGGTGCTATTGGTTTTCCTGGACCCAAAGGAGAAGGTGGGGTTGTGGGGCCACAGGGACCACCAGGTCCCAAGGGTGAGCCAGGGCTTCAGGGCTTCCCAGGGAAGCCAGGCTTCCTTGGTGAAGTAGGGCCCCCTGGCATGAGAGGTTTGCCAGGTCCCATAGGGCCCAAGGGGGAAGCTGGGCAAAAAGGTGTGCCAGGGCTCCCTGGTGTTCCAGGACTGCTTGGACCAAAGGGAGAACCAGGAATACCAGGAGAACAGGGTCTACAGGGTCCCCCAGGTATCCCAGGGATTGCAGGCCCTAGCGGCCCCATTGGACCACCTGGGATTCCAGGCCCCAAAGGGGAACCAGGCCTCCCAGGGCCCCCTGGGTTCCCTGGTGTGGGGAAGCCCGGAGTGGCGGGACTTCATGGCCCCCCAGGGAAGCCTGGAGCCCTTGGCCCTCAGGGCCAGCCTGGCCTTCCAGGGCCCCCAGGCCCTCCAGGTCCCCCAGGTCTCCCAGCTATGATGCCCCCTACACCACCTCCCCAGGGAGAGTATCTGCCAGATATGGGGCTGGGGATTGATGGTGTGAAAACCCCTCATGCCTATGGGGCTAAGAAAGGCAAGAATGGAGGGGTAGTCTACGAGATGCCTGCGTTTACTGCCGAGCTGACTGCACCTTTCCCACCGGTGGGGGCCCCAGTGAAGTTTGACAAACTGCTCTATAACGGCAGACAGAACTACAACCCACAGACGGGCATCTTCACCTGTGAGGTCCCCGGTGTCTACTACTTTGCATATCACGTCCACTGCAAGGGGGGCAATGTGTGGGTCGCTCTGTTCAAGAACAATGAGCCCATGATGTACACGTACGACGAGTACAAAAAGGGCTTTCTGGACCAGGCATCTGGGAGTGCGGTGCTGCTGCTGAGGCCCGGGGACCGGGTGTTCCTCCAGATGCCCTCAGAACAGGCTGCAGGACTGTATGCCGGGCAGTATGTCCACTCCTCTTTTTCAGGATATTTATTGTATCCCATGTAAAAAAAGAAAAGAACAAGAGAGAGATTTAATAGAAGAAAAGAAAATGACGCACCAAAAAATCCAAATGGAAAAACATAATTGCTTCAAAACATTTATATAGTTGGAAAGTTATATTTAAGTGAAAATTTGGACCATCGTGTACAAATACAACCTAAGATGCTTGTTTAATACTCTGCACAGCAGCTTGTAATTGAAAACAATGGGATAGATTTATGTATCAAGTACTGACACTTGTGTTGTACCACTGGAATCACATTAGCTGTTTTATGTTATATGCTTCCACGATAACCTGCTTATTCAGATCAGTCAAAACATTTCAGTATGAAAGATCATAGCTAATGAAAGTCACTCACTTGTATTGTTTACTTTAAAATATTTATAAATATGACTTCAAGAAATGTCAACAGTAACAATTACATACCGTATTTACTTGCATAATTTCCTCTGTATTTGTGCAGATACTTTGCCATGGAATGTGTGTGTATGTTGGGTGGGGGGTTGTAGTGTTACTGCCCCAGTGGGAGGGAGCCACTGGGACCATGGTAGTGCTTTAGTCCAAGGTTTATTTCTCTCACATGAGAGGCTATGTCTTTTAGCAGCGGGGGTGTTAGAATTGTGTGTCTGGTGTCTTTACAAGAACAGGTGAACCAGTCAACCATTGTGTAGCTACTCAGTGCCTAGCACTGGGTGAGACACATGTGTGGGGCATTAGACAGTGCCCTGAAGGAGCTAATAAAACAGCTGGGAGACATAAGCAGTAATTAACTGATTTATTCCTTAAGGGTTTCTTTTTTTTTTTTTTTCCTGTGACTTATTTATCCTTTTTCTTCCTTCCATGTAATTTCCATGATGGCCTAACTAATATAAACACTTGGAAGTTATGAGAAAAAGATAACCCTTCCTTCAATAACTTTCCAGTTTTGTGGAATATTTATTATTAATAGTAGTTATCAATTGTGTTTACAGGTATTAAGAATTCCCCTCCTTTGCCTACACACACAACCAACCACAATGAGGTTTGAACCATGGAGATAGCAGTATATTGAAGAATTTTGTGAATTTTAAATGTGAATCTTGAAGAAATTTCCCTGTGCAGTATATATGTAAATTGAAATGTTATCTGAGGTTCTAAAGTCACTTTCCGAAATCCAGCTATTCTTTATTTGGGGGGAAAAGTTTCAGAATTACATAGGAAAATGCATTTTTATTTGGAAAAAATAATCCTGAAGTTTTTTTTTTAAAGATGACTGGTAAGGGGATCTTAACCCTTGACTTGGTGTTGTCAGCACCACGCTCTCCCAAGTGAGCAAACCAGCCATCCCTATATAGGGATCCGAACCCATGGCCTTGGAGGGGATCTTAACCCTTGACTTGGTGTTGTCAGCACCACGCTCTCCCAAGTGAGCAAACCAGCCATCCCTATATAGGGATCCGAACCCATGGCCTTGGTGTTATCAGCACCACACTCTCCCAAGTGAGCCATGGGCTGGCCCCAATCCTGAAGTTTGACATTTAAAAATGAATATGCTGCTTCCTGGTTTAGGTACTAAAATCATAGAAAAAGAACTGTTTCTTCAGAAACAACCTGTGGAAGAGCTTTCTGGAATGTCAAAGGGCAACAACAGCCTGTGCTTTTGATGTCGCCCCATACTCAGCCCAAGTCAAGAAGCAATACAAGTTGAAAAGGAGAAATAAATACTTTTCTGGGTTTTCACTTAGGCATATACTAACTGCTTTGGGCATTGTAATCTGGTCTCAAAACACAAAACATTTTGAGTCTGCTATTAGCCTGTTGCTGACTCTATTAGCCACTCGGGGCAATAATGTGGGTTAGAGTAGTGGAATCTTGTATCTTTTTCTCAAAATTAAAAAAGTGAGGAGTTGAGGAGATAGCTATAGGTGGGAAAATACACAAATAAATACGGTATAAAAACACATGGAAATGTGTCTATGTCAAATATGAATCATTTTTACTAAAAACAAAATTTTTTCTCTTGGTCTAATCTTTCTTTTCCCTATATAGTACACAAGCACCATTTCTTAATTTTTAAGAAGAGAAATGAGTTCATTACCACAGTTTCTTATTCATTGCTAATTATATATAACATACTTTTCCCATCAAAAAGATGTCTTACCCATTCTTCGTTTTCAAAGCAGACATTTATGTGGCCAATTATCCTTTGGGTTGGTCTTCAGGATGCTGGTTTTGAGGCTATGGGAGCAGCATGGATCCACTGGGTTCCTTCAACTAAAGAGCTGCACTAAAATAGCTTGGAAGCAAGTCCGATCAGCTGACTTGTAAAACTGCATTTAACTGTACATGCGTGGGCTTTTAACTTCCACCAGGCAAGAGAGAAATTATCTCTTTAGTTAAAACCAAATTTCACTTTTCAAAATATTTTCCAACTTATTTATTGGTTGTTACTCAATTGCCTGTATATGTGTGTGTGGTGCGTGTATTATCAGGCATATGCTTCTAACTTTTAGATGGGGGAGGAGCAAAATCTATGCCAGATACTGTGTATTCTACAATGGTGCTAATCTCAGAGCTAAATGATACTCCATTTAATTTAAAAAAGAGTTTTAAATAATTATCTATGTGCCTGTGTTTCCCTTTTGAGTGTTGCACATCATGTTAACATATTAGCGTAAAAGCAGATGAAACAAGCAGGTGTTCGAAAGTCTAGGGATAGTGCTATAATCCCTATTTAATTCAAAATTAACTACAACTATTCCATGTAAAATGGACCAAACTGGCATTATTGTTATTTAAATACAGAGTTTTATTGCAGTATGACATCCCACAGGGGAAAAGAATGTCTGTAGTGGGTGACTGTTCTCAAATATTTTACAGAAAACAATGAGCGATGCACAGACTGGTAACTTGTTTGAGTTTCCATGAGAGATTTGAGACTTGTCAATAGCAAATCATTTTTGTATTTAAATTTTTGTACTGATTTGAAAAAAGTCATTAAATATCTTTAAAAGTATGCTTCTCATCTTGTTCATATCACTCAGCTGACACTGTTTGAACCTCAAAAGTGTTTTATCCCTCATTAGCTGCTGAAATAGAGATCTACAGTAAGCATCACTTAACCAGGACAAATGCTCCTCTTTGACATAACAGCTCTGAGCAGCAGCAGTGTAGGCTTATGTGGTAGCTTGTCAGGGCCCATGTTCCCTCTACTTTGGTGCTCTCCCACCCTGAGGGTGTCGCTGTCATCACCAGGGGTCCGGGATACCTAACCATCACAGTCACATTCCAGCCAGTGGGAGGATGAACAAAGCAGGAAGGGGGGGCACACTATTTGTCTTCAAGGACTCAACCAGCAGCTGCTTGGAGACCTGCCTCTCACATCCCATGGCTCTGACTTTAGTCACACTGCTACAACGAGTTGCAGGGGAGTGTGGGAAACTGAACATTTATTCTGGGTAACCACATGCCCAGCTAAAATTCAGGGGTTTTATTAATATGGGACAAGGGAAACTGATATTAAGGGACAATTACCTGCCTTTTTTGTCACATCTAACCTAAAAAAAGAAATTCAAACCTCTCTTCTACCAAAAGAAACCAGTCTTCAAATACTCCATTCTATTTCACTATGCCACACTAGAGCCAAATATTTTGAGGGGAGGTAGTGGTCACTGGAGCTACAGGGCAGAAGCAGATGTGTTTCAAGAACTTAAGGGTCTTAATAAGCATTGCAGATTAGGAAAGACTTCTTCTATGATGACTTATCGAGCCCAGAATGATCATAACTTATGTCTGGAATATTTTAATGGATTATTCATATAATTCAACAAGCAAGTATATACTTCCAGTCTATGGCTGTTACCTCACCGGTTAAAACGATCAGGCTGGAAGCTCAAGATCACAGCTTCTATTCCTGTATAGCCCAATTAATTCTGTTTCATTCCACAGCCAAAGACGCTTCCATCACATTCACCTTGTTGGCATAGAGTGTTGGTCACAAAAGTGAATGGAAGTATGGATACAGGAGATGAAGGCAGGGAGGAATAAATAGAATTCAGAATGCTGGACAAGCAGAACAAATGCATCATCACTACGACTGCATATTAACTCAAAATATATATCTTACAATGGGTGTGTAATATACCTTTATATTAAAACAAAACACAAAGTAGCCCCTACTTTGTGCCTGACTCTACTAGGCAATGTGAGGCATAAAAAAGCAACAGAAAAAACTACACTTTTTTTTTTTTTTAATTATCTTCTGCTTGGAGAATATCAAGACATTTGTTAAACAAGACATTGATTTCCAAGAGCAAGGTGGTGTGATGCTGACTGGATACACACGTGGTAGAGAAACTAAGAAAGAGAAAGACTGTTCCATGATGCCCCATTCCTGGGCCTACCTTCTCTGACTTGTCTGCTGGCTAAGCTCCTCCGCAAACCCTCAGGACACAGAGGAAACATTAGCTCCCCTTTAAACTTGCCCTGTTGCTTAGATTTCATCACTTTCTCCCTGATATCACCACCCTGCCTCACACATTCTTCTGTCCCTCCACTTTTTCTGCCTTGTGAGTGAACCACTTGTCTGTCTCCCCTGTTAAGAGTACACGTTTCTTGAGACCAGGCACCTGGTCTTTTCATCTTAGCAGCCATGGCCCATCATGGAGCGCTGGTCAAATATCAGGGTGAGTGAAGAATGACTTTCTCAAGGATGCCACAGGAGGGAGTCCTAAACTGGATGTGAGGTTTGACTAAATGGCAGGAAACTCCCTTCCAGCTCTGGCATCCCAAGATTATGTAGATGCTCACCGTGGGATGAAACTTAATTCCAGATCATTTTTTGGAGAAGGTGATTTTTAAATAAATGTAGAATTTGGATGGAGGAAACATGAAAGTGTCCCAAGGGGAATAGCCTCTCCTCCTCTAATAGAGAAGAGAAAACCGTGTATGTGTGTGTCCTAGGCAGGGAGTTGGGGAAAGTAAGGAAGCTGAGATCAGGACAACAGCCTAATGAAATCAGAACATTCATTCAAGGACTAGTAAACTGATTTAATAACTCAAGGAGGATCAAGGGATGCAGTGCTTTACATATAGGGAAGAGATATTTCTCTTTTACCTGATACGCAATAAGAAGACATTCTAGGTCCTTACATGGGAAAGCGGTTTAAAAATTATTTCAGAAAAATTATTTTGATGATTCTATGAAGACAACATTGGAGAAAGGAAGACACAAGTAGTAAAATCAATGAGGAGACCAGAAATGAAATGATGGGTGAGTGATGGTGAAGGACCCCACACTAGCCTCCTGAGTGAGGAGAGAGAGTCAGATAGGTTCAGGGGTCAGGGTTTCAGTACTGCATGACAATGGGGCTATTTCAGGAGGTAAAAATGAGAATGAAGAAGGATGGAACAGCTGGAGAGACAGTTGAAAGACTGAACTGGGGCCAACAGCATGGCTCACTCGGGAGAGTGCGGCGCTGGGAGCGCCGAGGCCGCGGGTTCGGATCCCATATAGGGGTGGCTTGTGCGCTCACTGGCTGAGCGTGGTGAGGACGACACCAAGCCAAGGATTATGATCCCCTTATCGGTCACAAAAAAAAAAAAAGGAAAGACTGAACTGAACTTGGGGATAATACTAGATAGACAGACTTACAAGGAAGAAAAATGCATGACCCCAAAGCAGTTTTCTCCCATTGGTAAACTTGGAAGACAGGGATGGTGCTACCAACAGAAATGGGTAGTCTACTAGCAGAGCCCACTTCAGGCAGGGGAAAGGTGAAGACACCCATTTTACTTATAGGCTTGTTGAATTTGACCTGATGGTGGGTGTACTCATTTGCTAGGGCTACCATAATAAAGTACCACAGACTGGGTGGGCTTAAGTAATAGAAATTTACTTTCTTACAGTCCTGCAGGCTAGAAGTCCGAGATCAAAATGTCAGCAGAGTTGGTTTCTTCTAAGGCCTCCCTCCTTGGCTTGTAGATGGCCACCATCTTGCTGTGTCTTCACATGGTTTTTTTTCCTCTGTCTGTGTCCCAACTGCCTCTTCTTACAAGGACACTAGTCATATTGGATTAGGGCCCACTCTTGTGATCTCATTTTCAACTTAATAACCTCTTTAAAGGCCCTAGTTCCAAATACAGTCACATTCTGAAGTACTGGGATTCAACACATGCATTTTGGGTGACACAATTCAGCCCACAACAGTGGGAGATGCCTGTGCTCCAGATGTGCA